TGAGGACACTCTGTATTATGCATTGATTATGAAGCAATTTTTAAATGTTACTGGGACAAGTTTTGATGTTGAAAATGACTTTGATAAAATATTTTTGTTCCTATCACTAACAGACATTTTCAGACTTCAAGAAGGAAGGACTGCCTACAGCTTTATTTTTTCTTTTATGAGATTTTTAAATAAAAAATGTTCCTTTCTTTTATTAAATAGTGATTCAAAATATCAGGAATATTATAAATGGAGAGGTGTAATTTTTCCCTAATGCACATTACAGGAACAATAATCTCTCTATATATCTATGTATACACATATGCATACACATGGGATATTTTTTGACGTGTCTGAGAGGGATGACTTTTGAACTGATTGATACCGTTTGGTGTAGAAAATAGGTAGATTGGATTTCAAGCAATAAATATTTTAATATAATGAAAAATTCATTTGCTTGCACAAAAATATACATTGAACATTTCTGAATGTTCAAGAAACTTCAAGATGAACTTTGAAAAATACTGAGAATATAATTTAATTGTGTACCATAAAAAATCCCCACACCACAGTATGTGTTGTGCTTCAATGACGAGACCTTCAAGGCAGTACAACTGTTTTTGTTTGTATTGCCGCTATGTTTCTTCAAAGCATCCAGTATTTATTCACATGTGGCATTTCTCTGTTCATTGTTGGAACAAAAATAGCTCGATTTGATGAATGTCAGATGTAGAGTGGTTATTTCCTTACTAAGTTTAAGAACAAATCGGTTTCTAACAATAGATATTATTTTCCATAATTGAGATAATTGATGCAGTGTGCACTCTTAGATAGTCTGAACATTTTAAGAAGATTTTTACATCTAAAAAGAGAAGGAGAAATTGCAGATTAAAGTAACGGTCCGTTCCTCTGTACCTGTGCTGACATTGTCCTGTAGTCAGTGTGTATCTGTAGTTAATGTGCAAAAGCATGTATGTTCCTGCTGTTTAACAGCATAAAACGAACAATACAGATAATCACAGAAGACCTCTGAATGCTAAATGAATCTTGGAAGGGGCTTGAACCAGTCATGAATGTACATGAAAATAATATTCCTTAGATTAAGTTGTTGAATTAGGCCGTGATTTCAAGTTGCTCCACACAGGACAGGAGAGGAGATCAGGCTTAAGTATACTCAAAGTGCTGAATGGTACCAGTGTCATATTGGCCCTTTACCTCCATGTTTCTCCTTTCTTTGTGTCTAATGAGACTTTATAGACTGTAGTTCATTCAAGAAGTGCCTTGCCTAAAGACTGATATGTGCCATTTAATTCCAGTGAAACTGGTGATTTGCACAGATGTAAATGAAAACAAGCTGATGGGACATAGGTCTAATTTAACAGACTTTGCTGTTTTTCAAATCATTTTCTGTGTAAAGGTCAGAGCTGGTCACCAATATTCAAGCTGCAGCAATAGGTAAGAGTCCTTTTCTTCTGCATCTGTAAAACGTGTTGACCTTCTCTTTCAAATGTGGAGATGCCTTATCTGCCTTTCTCATCTTCAAATTAAGTCAAGGTAGCATCTACCTTTTTTTCCTAATTTTAGGATCTTAAGCTAGCTATCTATGGTCTGAAATTGTTTTTATAATTTTGGGGTGGTGATTCAAGAAGAGAATTTACCACTATGCATTTTAATCTAAAGGAGTTCAAAACACTGCTTTAGATGTAAATGATTTGCTATTTGTCCACTCAGATATTTACACCATCTTTCTTTCCTCTTTCTTTCTCTCTCTTTCAGTAATGCTGTGATCATGGTGAGCAATATGAAACCTCATACCAACATAAAAAGGAGGTTAGGTTTTCTCTGTGAAGAGGAACCTTTCCTCTTGGAACGGGTTCCAGCCTTCAGCCCAACAAATTTGACAGCTTTTAGACTGTCCTGAAGCTATCCTTTTTTTCTCTTTAGCCTTGTAGGCCTGTAAAGAAGCAAAGGGGTCAGAGGATAGAGACAAATCTCTTTTTTTTTTTTTTTTAAGGCAAAGCAACTTTGGTTAGAGATTATTCGTGGAAACGGAAAAAATATATTTTTATTTCAAGTTCTACATTATTGTTATGGTAGACACTGCAAAATAAATCTAACTAAACACTTTTCTGAGGGCAAATCAGGGATTATTTAAGAACTGTTGTGTAGCATCCACCTACTGGACTGTTAGCCAATTTACCTGTAATAGCTGCTCAGGTTTGGTAACGATGATATTCCGTGCTTGCGGAATAATACAGCTTGCTGGTTTTGTTTGCCTTTTTTTTTTTTTAACAGGAGACTCCTAAAATAAATTGAAGACCCTTTAGAAACTTTTCAAATGAAAACTCATGTTTAGCTGTTGCCAGGAAGCTGGCTGGTTAATCCATATTGTGAGATCATGCAAAGCTTCTTAAAATAACTTCTTGAAATAGTTAACTCGTAATGAAGCAAAAATGAGCTTTGATCTTCCATTTTTAAACTCTGAATGCCATTTTTCATGTTAATTATTTTCTCGGCTCTTCCAGCTCACATTTTTGAGCTCAGCAGCACTTTTTTTCCAATTACATTCTTTATCCCACTGGTTTATATGAGCATGTTATTATGTTCCCAGTCCTGTGCAATCATATGTATTCCTTGCAAGAGATGCATTGTACGGTTTCAGTGTAGGAACATGGAAATAACGTGTGTCTGCCTTGCACCGTCTCATCCAGCACTCAGACTGTTGCGCAGCAGAGCCGGGCCACTGCCTAACGGTTGTGCACTGGGTCCGTGCTCATGACGTATTGCTAAAGAGACGACTTGTTTTCAGGTTCAAGCCAAGTCTCAGCTAGCTGAGCGACGCTGGTAGTTGAGTGACCGTGGCAAGCAGCATTTCCAAGTTTTGTTTCCATGTATTAAACCCGCCAGGTTTCTGACGGGGCCTTAGCACTGAAATGAACTTCACTTACTAGATATAAATAAATTACCAAAGACCTGCCGTGGCAGTCACCTGGCATTTACAAATTGTTTCGCTGTGAAAACTGATGAACAGCTTGCTACTCGTCAGCAATGAATTTCACGTTATAAATACGTGAAGGCGGTTTCTGCCAAGCTGTTCTAGATGCTTGACTGCTGTTGCCGTGTGCCCTGCGGTGGAAGTGCGTGCCCTCCCAGAGCGTGCCCTGGGCACGGCTGCTCCCGCAGCACGGCGCTGCCTGCCCTCGCGCTCCCAGACAGCCCGTCTCTCTGAATCCGCCACTCGCTGAGGGAGAAATGTGTTTTCAGCACCAACATTAAAGGGAGTCTTGTAAACTAAGCTTATATTTGAGCAGAAGACCAAAAACACAGATGAAAAGTAGCGTGAGAATTCAGATTGTCTAAAAACTGAACCCAAAGTTAAACGCTCAATATTAAATTGAACATATATGAACATTGAATACATGTGGCCAGAGGGAAACCACAAAGACTTAATTCTCTGTCTCTCTGGCCAAACAGTCTGTGCATGAGTGACTGGGACTGTCGTGTCCTCAGGAGCGCTCCTTCAGAGCAGCTCGGCAGGGACACAGCAATAACCCGGTGTACTGTGTCATGTCTGTAGCTCCACTACCAGTAACGCGCCGCGGGATTATGGTGTAGACTGTATCACGTCAGAAAGTACCAGTCGGTCGGTCACACCTTGCATTAGGGAAGACTCCTTTTCTCCCTTGTTAGTTTGTGACGGATAGAAAACGATGGCTCTGTGTCCTCGTCTGGATGAAGGGGGTGAAGTGCACGAAACTGTTTCGTGTGATTGCCAGCAGAACTGGGGGGGGGGGGGGGGGGGGGGAGAGGGAGAAAGAAAAAGAAACTGAAAGACGCCAGAAACTAAGTGCCAACAGGACTGAATGAAACTGACTGATTATTTTGAAACCAAAGTAGTAAGCTGTAGAAAGAATCAGTGGTTTTCATTTGCATCGCTTGTAGCATATGCTTTTCTCTGCTTTTTCTATGAGTAACTCTGAAGATGAATACTGAGGATCCTAATGTTAAGTATTTGATGTTTTATCCTCCTCAGATGAACAGAGGTCTATGGCCATGTATTTCCTGAGAACCAGTCTCAAATCCTTAAATTGTGGAACAACATATTCATTTTCTTAAGTACTTTCCAGTATGATTTCAAAACTGAGTTTACTTTAAAAAAAAAAAATCTCGTAATTCCCTCGTTCACCAAAATCAGACTAGAAAGCAGTTAACAGAATTGGTTGTTTCTGGCCTACTTCGTACCACGTTGTTGGAAAAGGCTTCAAAATAAACTATGTAAAGTGCAGGGGGCTTCAGGGGCCCAGTGCAAAGGTTGAGACTGTGATTTATTAGGAGCTGTTATAAAGTAGCAGGTGAGGGCCACCCACCTCTCAAAGGGAGCTGCACCCCCCACATCATGCTGGTCTCTGTCTTACTAGTTTCTACTGTGCTTTTCACAAACTTTTCTGAGCGGCATCTGAGTCCCGTCTCATCCCAGTGTCTCATGTGCCAGGTCCCCCTTCCTTGGCTCAGAGGGTGGAAGAGTCGGGAACAGTCCTTGTAGCGCAATTCCTCCCAAAAGCGAAATCTGTCAAATTCAGAAGAGTTAATGATCAAACTGTATGATGTGTCAAGTACCCTTTTCTCCTGCTAGTTTTGGAAGGACATGAAGTAGCTTAGCACTTCATAAGACTATAAGCCTGCATGAGAAAAGTCTAAGAGTTACTGTCAAAGGGATTTCTACTCTTGCTAGCAGGGAAAAAAAGCATTGTGTCATACAGCAGCCACAAAATTATACTTTGAAGAAAAGTTGTACTAAATTTTTTCTTTAGAGGAATTGTAATAATGGTTTCGTATGCTCGCAATCATGAGTTATCTCCCCAATCTGACACACAGTTTATCCTTCTATTTATTTTTTAAGCTCCTGCTCACAATCTGTCAAAACAGACCATGAAAACATGTTTCACTGTGGTATTTCTGTTAGTGGGCAGAAGGCATGGGCATTTTACTCTATGTTTTTTCTGTATTTACAGATGCAGCAGCTTGAGAGACAAGTTATAGATGCTGATCGTCAAGCAGAGAGGGCTTTTCAGCAGGTATATCTAAATGAAAAATATCTCCACTAGCTATGTGCATGTTAAAGCACTGTTATCAAGGAAAATTCAGAAAATTACTATTTTTCTTAAATACTGTTTAAAAGGCATAAGTTGGTTTTTATATTTATTGATCTCTCTTACCAGAGATAACTGCTTCGCTCACTGTCAAGTTCAGAGTTTAGTCTATAATAAAGTGAAAGCTAACTGAAAAATCCAAGATAGATGCATATAATGAACTTCTTTGCTGTACAGTATTTTTATCATCTTCTCCATTGATACATCATGAGTCTTTGATATATGATGCAAATGGAAACAAAAGGAAGAGGAAACATCAACCTACTTTAGAAAACCTTAAAAAAAGGGCTATCCAACACAGTCAGTAAATAGGATGATTCTGTTTTGTGCTCATCGTTCTTGTAATAAGTTATGTCATCTAAAGAAAGAGGTTGTGGCTGCATATTTAACCAAAGTTTCCTTTTGATTCCAAATGGCACATGTATGTACTGCAATAATTTTGTAAGCATATGTATGGTATCCCCTAAAAATCCTTCTTATTTCACTGTTGAAACAGATAGAAACTGATAGTTGTAAGAATACGATTCATGTCCTAATTCACAGTTAGAACATGCCCCTCACTGTGAGACAGGTATTTTCAGTCATTTTTTAGAGTGCCTGTAATAATTTCTTGTTCTTTGAGTACTGTGTTTTTATGTGGTTATTTATTTATTAAAACATTAATTTTTAAGCCTAAGAAAAGCTATGGGCTCCCTATACATTCTCTCCATTTTTGCATCTCTAACAGATGTGCGTGTTACAAACCTACCAGCCTCTTGCTGTCATTAACCAAATTTGTCTAAGGGCTATCAGTGTTTTGGCAGTCCTATTAGTATTAGGTGCATAAGGTGATCTAAAACTGTGAAATTTCTTCTCAAATAGGGTTTAGAGCTTTGTAGGATTACCTTGAATCTTAAGTGTGGGGAGCAATTTTAACAACCAATTTTATGATTAAATTGTTACCTTTTACTTATAATACCATGTTTCTAAAAAGTGTTATGTTTGACCTACCAAATAGGTGCAAGTTATGGAAGAAAAATTAAAAGCCGCTAATGTTCAAACAAGTGAATCAGAAACCAGGTTGTATAAGAGGTGTCAAGATCTGGAGATGCTGATACAAGAAAAAAATGACACAATACAAAAATTGGAGCAACAACTTGAAGAACAGGTTAGAAATAATTATGTTAAAAAGATGAGCATCAATTTCATTCTTAATTATGCAAAAGGAAAAGAAAAAAATTAAGATCAATACAGGACAGAAAAGTTCCGAATTATTTCTGTTGTTTGATTAAGGAGTTTCCCATTAGGAACATAACATCTGAAGAAGATTTATTCACTTGCAAGTTGTGTGCTGGCTTCCTTTGAAAGAATATTTAATTTTTAAGAGGGATCTTAAAGATCTTCTTCTTGACTGTCTCCTTTGAAAATTTTTCATTTTTCTTAGAGGAACAGCAGCCTGTATAAAAGGTATATTCATCTTTTAAAAACAAATCAGCATGTATTGCTAAGGAGACTGAATTACTTAAAGCAAACTTTAGAATTTGTATCTGAAGATACTACTCAGTCAGACAAAAATACCCAGTGAAAACTATTTTTGTCATTTTTTTTTCCAGAAGCAAATAAGACTGCAAGAAGCTAAAATCATAGAAGAAAAAGCAGCTAAAATAAAAGAATGGGTGACAGTCAAGCTCCATGAGGTATGTCTCTTGTGACAGTATTTGTAATACAGAAAATACAAGGTCTGGCTTGATATCCTTTAGGCTTTTTGGCTGTTAAGAGGGTAATGCCATGGTTAACAAATGTTTACCAGTTTCATTAGGTGGTGTAGTTACTTACTTAAAAGGGGAAAAATGAAAAGAGCAGCGCAGAGGAGAGAGTATCCCTGTCACATAACTTCAGTTTACTGATTTAGCCAACTAGTATCTCTGGGTCCACTTTATGGAGAGAAATCCCAGAACTGCTCTCTGGAAGTTCTAGTTTATCTCCACTAATTGTGGGAGATTAGGTGGCTAACATAGCTTGCTCACATAGATGCCTAAATTGTGAATAATCCCCCAAATATTGACCACATCTGCTGGGGCCTGTCAGAAAAAATGACTTCATCATTTTTCATTTTCTATTGCCCAGTATATTCTTAACCATAAATAGCTTCAGGGGCACCGGTTCTATTCCGAAAAGAGACCAGCTGTGTCCCTTGTTTCCCTGCTGTGGTGAGATCTCTTTGTCCTGGCTCAGGATGCCAGTTTTGGTATGCAGCTGTGCTCTTTCTCCTCCTTACATTTAGATTAAATTTAAAATTGCCCACCCATAAGAGTTACAATCCTACTCTTCAGTGGTTAACTGGAAATTATGCTCACTCTAGTTAAAAGCTATTTAACTAATGGTGATTTTTTTAAGTAGAAAGCTAGAAATAATGTTTACCATTAGGCTGTGGTGAAAGATTTTAAAATCATTTAATAAGAAGTTAATAAGAAGTAGAAGTAGTTGAGTCTAATGAAATATAGCTAAAACTATATCCCTGGTAGTGGGATATGGCAATCGGATGTTGAGGTTTTTCTCTTCCCATAGAAGTTCTTCTGCTCCATATAATCTTCTTTGATACATATTTTCTTTAACTTTGCTATGGAGTAGCAGGAGGCATTGGGATCATCATTTCCTCTAATTCCTCTGCTTTCTCTTGGGTTTTCCAAATGGCACAACAGTTTGCTTGTTATTCTAGCCCTTTGCTTTTATTAAAAATGCCCAAACCAACAGAGATTTTTTTTTAATTATTCAGGCTTTTAAAAGCGGTCTTGGGTTTGCGTGGTTGGGAATAATTCTATTAGAGTAAAGAGTATTGTGCAAATAATTAATCATTATAGGTAATTTCATTTGTTCTGAGTAAACAAATGCTTAGACTGGCGTTAAGAGAAACAGCAGAGAGGAGTTTACCACTTGAAATAGCTTCATCTTTAGAAATCCAAAAAGCAGAGAAAATCTAGATGATATAATGACTTTAAAAATTGCTTTACCAATGGATACGCTTTAAATTTATATGCTTTTAGTTAGAAGTGGAAAATCAGAACCTTCGCTTGATGAACCAAAAGCAAACCAAAGAGATGAAAACAGTACAGTCTAAACTGCAAGGTAAATGACACAAGTGTTTTTAAAACTTCTCTGTATGTGGCATAATTCTGACCATATCCTAATAATTTATGCATCCAAGTAATTGAAATATTCCTGAAAATCTGAAATATTTCAATGAGTATTAATTTACTGACCTCAGAGTGACTGTACATAAGGTGTTAGGCAAGCAGTAATTGAATTTTTATGAAAAAGACAAACAAACAAACCACAGCTGTTTTTTGCTGGATGAGTGGATATTTCTCTTTCTATTATTAAAAAGGTTCTGCAAGCAGTAATATTTGACTGAATTTGTTTCAGATCCTTACTTTCACATATTTATAAGGTAGGAGATCTTAGCCCTGTTAAGGAATAGATGAATGACTGTCTGCATCTGCCTTCCCAGAAAATGCTCAGTTGGGAATCAGAATTCTAATCTGATTTTTTTTAATTATTACATTTGACCACACTGATCCAAAACCTTCATTCAGCCATTCCAGCACCCAGGTTCCTCTCTGATTGAATATAGTTAATTTAAAAATACATGAAATGTAAATATGAGAAGGAAGAACATCCCCTCCAGTGTTACTTTACATTAATCAAAGTGTAATTTTATTTGCTACTGTGTTGCCTGTTCACCAAGTTTGTTCAAGTCTCTCTGAAGATCCCCATAGTCTTCTCTGCACCTGACTAACCTAATAATGAAAGATTTTTCATCTGAAAAATCTTGTTAGTCTGCTACCTAACTCTTATTTCTTGATAATATATCTCATATACATATATATACACATTTATAAATGTGTGTGTATTTCTGTATATATCTATACA